TTACGACGACACGCGTCAGTGATGGCTACCACCAGCACAAACAGGTTTAAAAATGTAATTCATAGTAGTGAGAGGCAGATCATTAATAGTACACTCAACCGACGTTTTCTGGGACTAAGCAGCTGGTAAATAGCGTAACCATTAAAAGTGAGGATAACATTAAGATAAGAGTGGCTTTAAAATATACCTATAAATTAAATAAATAAAAACAATACCTCGTCACCAAGTTACCACCCTCAGTTAGACCCACTCTACTCACAACACAGGATGGAGATTTGCCGTTCACTTTTCAAATTTTATAATAGTTCCTCTGCGTTATGTGTTAATGAAACCTTTACAACGTTTCCCATTTAGCAGAAGAGAGATGAATCTTCAGCAACGAAATGAGAAAGAAGTAATTCTGTATTATCTCCCTTATATTTACGAAAAGACTAAAGGAATTATCCCACTCCGTAAATGCGATTAATTTAGAATGTAGTCTAGTCACCAACATAACATGACACTACGACGATGTCTGTCTCTTCCACTTTTCCCCTTCGTTTGTATGTATACGGCACGTAGGCTGTATAGAATTTCTAACACACTAAAAATGAGCTGCTTCAACTGTGTTATCTTTTTAATTTTATTCCAACCCCACGTTCCCTTTAGGTAACACACATTTTCGTAGCAGTTTATAATGACATGATAGTTTGCCATCCCTTTAACACCGTTCAACAAGGGACTTGCTGATTAAAACAAACAGTCGCTTTGAAAGGGTTTTGCGAGAAAAGAAATGACCAGCTGTTAGGCTTCCAGGCATCGACTTCCAGTAAACCCACACAAGTTTCCCTTGGCTCTTTTCCATGAGATGAGCATCCAGTGCTGGAAACAACGTCAGGGGAGGAAAAAAATACACGTAAGGCTGAAGGGGATGGGGTGGGAAAATAAGTGTGAGAAAATTTGTCATTCCTCGAGTCTTGGGTGTAGCGAGGGCGGACCCTAGAGACAGTGGCATGCTTTTGGAACTCCGTGCCCACATATTTTAGATCCGTGATGAGAGAGTGTAAAGGTGTTTGGGACCGAAGCGTGTAAAAACTAGAACGAGATAGAAAGGGCTGAGCCCCCCGGGGGGAAGGGGGGCTTCCCCCCAGCGAAAAATAATGTGTTTTAATAAAAACGCGGCTTATACAACTTCTGATTTATGGAGTTTTAACGGGTTATTATTATTACTATTGAACGTGAGTTATCCATACTGTGGGACTCGTACGCAAGGGGCAAATAGGGACAACGGTGATGCTTTCTGGCAATGGAATGAGATGAATCTCTAGCGGGAGAACGCCGTGATTCGGTGTCTTTCGAAAACAATGATTACGTTTAGTGTCCCGCGTTGTTTTTGCGATTCAAGCGGGTAACCTAACCTAAAAGCATGTTTTGGGAGATAGTAGTTTGGAATCCAGACTATGTCACCGGCTATTCTAGCATAGATTTTATTTATTTTTCTCAGTCTCTCTTAACACACAGAATATTCAAATAGGCCACAACCGCATCAATTTTTAAATACCCGCCAATATGATTAATATTACATTTTATTCAACGCTATAAAGGCTAACTTGAATTAAAACAACGTCTTGAATTTATTCTGTTTAGAAGTGCGTCGAGAGTAAAGTAATTATGAGAACACAAGTAGCATGAAATAAATTCCAGGAACTGAATTTGTTTGACTTATCGCATTTCAACTGAAATTATCATACGTGGCTTATGTGCTGAATTCGTACGATATTTAGTCGAAATAGTATGAACTGATGTATACATATATTCAGCACGACAATGATCTACAACAAAGTTTCTCTTTTCTGTGCTAGTTTCCAGTTCTGAAATTCATCCATGGTAGTCTGTGGTGTTCAAAGAGAATATCCTTATACTAAGCAAAGTGTGTGAAATGTCTGCACATTTCTGGGATGTAAGATAAAATTAATATTTTACAACACCATAATTGATACGATGTGCACTCAAACAATTAAAGTTCTTAAATTAGCTGTAGGAAGTGTGTGATATTCCTTTAGGAGGCTTTTAAAAACGCGTATTATTATGAATTTATAAATGTCGCAGAGCAATATAAAAATATAAAAAATTTCTACTCTTTAAATAATTCTACAAAACAAATCCTAGAAAAACAGACACAATAATGTTTTTATTTCAAAAGTACCAACAGAATTTCCTTCATTGTTAAATGACAAACTCCTGAAACTGTAAAATAAGCATCTGTGTTTATGGCTCAAAATCAATCTACTCACTACATTATCACGTTTCACACTGTTTCTCGCACGAACCCCGCACAAAACATTACTTTATCATGAACAAACATATGTCGAGTTACACACTCGTAATTGTCAACAAATCGATATAATTCGACGGCAATTGTATTACACCAAACACGAGAAGACTGCTGATAATTGCTGTCCGTTATAGCATTCCTACCACTGCTTCGTAATCCCATTCACAGTAAAACAGAACTAAAAACGAGAAAAATATTACTTTTACAGTTGCCGTGTTGTTCTAATTATTATGGAATATGACTCTTTTCAATATGAAATATTAGGATGCATTATATACTCTCTGATACAGCTTTAGGGCTCGTTCCGACTCTGAAATATGTTTCACTATATCATCATCAACATGCACGGCTCAAACCATGAAGCGTAAGCCCTGATACCCACTGAAAAACATTAACGCCAATGCGAAATGAATCTCGTACGTTGGGTGACGTCAGCAGCTATCAAATGTCCAAACACCTGTTCGCCGTGTTATACAACAGTAAAGGATATCTTGCCAGCATCTGTGAAGACAGACAACTCGTTAAAATGTAATTAAGTAAGATTTTAAGTTCTCAGGGTGACGAGTTGTCTGCTGGGACGATGAGCCGAATATTCTGATAGATATTTACTGACGTTTCTGCCTCTATCACAGAGGCAATGCCCTAATAATGGAGGCAGCAAGCACCTTTAAAACGTCGGTAAACTTCTCCAATGACATCCAAAGAATGCGATTAAATATATTAATCGATTAAATTTGTTTACTTTTGACAATCCTGTATTACTTATGAAAGTGATAATCGCTCTTTGGAATCTCAACGGACGTACGAAACATTTGTACTAACACGTGAATGCATATATATAACCACGCAGTTCAAACACGTTTGTTTCCTGCAGAATAATTTATTGTTTATTCGCCTACCAGTAGCATTGCTTAAATTCCTTTGCATACATTTGATCATATTTAATTAGCACAAAAACATTCATTTAGTACTATAATGAAATCATAATTACAATTTTGAAACTGTAAACAATGATAAACTCGTGTGAACGTTATAATGCCCAGTAGTTTACTTTAAATTATTAAATTTCTGGGTAAATCAATGGATGACACAACAAATAAAATTGCGTTTAGAATACAAACAGTAAAAAATGCAATCATCTGGATAATTCTAACAACAATATAATACGATATTAATACTCGTTTTATTTCAGATTACAATGAGGTTTTATCTCGTGTTAATTTTAATCGCTAACAGCGTTAAGACTCCAGCAACTAATTATGTAAATTTAAACGGTTTTAGGGTACAAAGAATAAAAGACTCTAACACACAACGTTTAACATTTATAATGTAAAATCACACCGACTGAATAATTTACCGTGCAATTGGACAGCAAGCACAGAGGTAGTCTACGCAATGTAGACCTCTCCAAAGCTCCGGCCATTTTCTGTTCGTTCCCTAAATATCCATTTTATGGACGACTGTGTAAGCCTCTGAGAGCCTTCGTGTCTTCGGTAACAGAAAGAAAAAGACGTTTCCGGAAATCAAATCGTTGATATCCCGTATGAAAATAGTTACTTAGGGCTACACTCATTCATAACACGCAATGAACTGTGTGCCTTAGCATTATATTAGATAGAATAAACAAATCAAAATAGAAACAGCTAAAGCTTGAATTAACTGGCAAAAAATTCACAAATCATTTCGTGGACCTGGTTACAAGTGGTCTTGCGTCGGATGAGGTCGCCAGTACGACCACACAGTTACGTACCATAAATTCCTCCTAGTCTTAAGACTTCATGAACAACGTATTTCACATATTTGTTCTGTCATAAAGCAATCAAAAATAGTTTCGCAATAAGTGACCAATTTGAGATAACCACTTTAAACGAGCAATGGAGAACTTACTTCCTACGTTATTTGCACTTAAGAAAAGAATTTCCCCTCATTCCTACTCAGCAAAATAACCGACTTCCTGTGGGATCTTGGGTAAATTTATGACGTCTATTAAATTAGCAATGGTAATAGCATGCAGTCTACAGTTTTCGAGAAGAGGCAGGAATTACGTCTAACACATTCATTCTCACATTTCGTTTCAAGTTCGTTATGCTGATACTAACCTCAATTTCAACACAACTGTAATTTTGCTACGTCTCGAAGAGACACATAATGTACCAGATGAAATATATCTCGTAGTTCGGGCAAGCAAAAATTGAACCGGGACGCCCTGACGAAAGCAGCAGAAAATATTAACACTTGGAAAAGAAATGGCCTTATGAATTTGAGTGAAGTTCCGTCACTACTGAAGTAGTTTTCATGATGAAGAAAACGGGCAAATTTGTATTCCTTTTTTTAATTTAGATACTTGAGCCGGTATTTTAAAATTCTTCTCTGGTTTAAAGACAAATACCAAAGGATAATTTATCTTGTGTATCGAAACATTAAGGTTGAAATTATTACATTGGCACTCCACTTTGAAATACGATTTTATAAACATAAAATTATTTAATTAAAATAAAGCAGATAAAAATAAATATAATCACATTTACGACATTTAATTCTGAAGTTATTTAACGATGATATTTCGAGTACAACATACATAACCCGTCTATTTAGTTGGTAAAATAGTAAGGAATTGCAGAGGTGTGGTCGTGTTTGAATATACTAGGGAAAATTACGAAAAACCTCATGTTAAATTGTCACTTACAGTTTCAAACCGGGCACTTCTCTAACCCAATGTTGTTACTGCAGCACTGTGGGTACGTTCTAAAACAAGCAAAAAATCGTTGGACTTTTAAAACTATGTCTGGGAATATCGAAAGAACATGCTAAATAAAGGCTGTGAGTGAATTTATGAACTTCGTATGATTCTCATTATGAAGTGATATTATTTCTCTAAACAACATCAACCAGTTGATCCTTTACTTTAACAGAAGCAGAGGTCTAAACACATGGATAACGACCCTATAAGAGGAGCATTTGAACACAATCCATGAAAATCTCGACGCAATGTTTCTGTTCAACTTGGAACTGAGAAGACAGAAGCTACAAAGTTTTTACTCAATTTATAAGGGAAATCAAACTTATAACTTAATTTTCAAGCATCAATCTAAGTTACGGCTTTCGGTAGCCAAAGATCTTCAGCAGTTATCTGATTTTGCATTACCATCTGCGTCCAAAATTCTTCGATTTATAACAAGTTTAGGTGTAAACATGTAGGTATAAAAACATGGCCAAGAATAAAACACTCCAAACAGTAACACAATTTCATGGATACTAAGCGACAACAAATTTGATACCAAGTTTAATTCATGAAAGAATGTAAAATGTGTTATATGAAACATAACAACTCTTTCAATTGCAGGGCTTATACGGTGTAGAATGACACACACATTCATAATTTGGGTAGTTAAATATTCTGTAAAAATCTGTAGCTTGAGTGAGATTTGAGGTTCTCACGGAGGTGAAAATCATGAAACAGTAGCCAGTTTCAAGAAATACCAGAATGTTTCCAAAATTTGTCATTATGGCTTAATCATTCTTATGTGTACGTATTCGAATTTGAAGAAACCTTCTTATGTTAATATATTTCCATGATAACGTGTATATTCTATTACTGAAAAGTCAGAAACAGGTAACTATGAAGAACGAGAAATACATTGCACGTCTGTTCCATTTTAACAAAAGGAAATAAATTTATACTAGGACTAATCTTTGTGATGAATTATGTCCTGTGCCGTGTGAAACATAAAACGATTACCAAAGGATTCAATAGGCTATAACTTACGAATTTTTTTAACAAAATAATTGCATGTCTACTCAAGATTTGCTTCGAAATATGTTTAAAATAAAAATTTCCTTACTAAAAATGTATTTTAATTGTCACAAGCCATTGAGCAGAACATCTCGAATTTCTCATCCCGAGAAATTGGAACAAGTATTGAGGATTATCATTCTTCTTCACATGACTACTTACAACGACCGAGAAAAGACGACATAAAACAGGAATACAGTCATTCAATTCAGGTAATGTATTAGACGAGATCACAGAGAAATGGGACAGGATGAACGCCATCTCTTTCTTATTGATGTATCGTAGTTCTATTTCGACTCAGAACAGGCGAAATGTTCTACGCCTCACCGATGACCCAGCGAGCTGCATAGTGTAACGATATATCGAATCTGACCTAAGTAATATTCACGCACAAAGCAGTGAAGATGAAACCCAGAAATTTATGGGCCCAATTCAAATAGAATCACTCGCAGAATATGCATAAAGTTTCGCTGTCACATGCACGTTCGCAACTTTGCGAAATAGGCCGAACATAGAATACAGACGCCATGCTGAAACTCTTGGCTAAAGATACGAATGGACTTTTTTTTTTACCGATATCTTACAAGATATGAAATAAAAGAGAGAAGTGGAGTTTTTTCTTATTTACTTCGATCCAAACAAAGTTACAATTTTTAACAAGATACGAAGTACTTGTTCCATTTCATAAAATTAAATTAATTTTAAAACTAATCTGAAGCCGTTAGAATTAATTAATTCATGAATCCCAAATTCCCACATTAGATCAGTCTTGTTCATTTGCGTCTACATTCTTTTAAAACAATAATTCTCAATTATTTTAATGTGAAAAGGATGCAAGTTAAAATCGTGCAAATATTACAATGCTGATTCTCTGATAACAGAATACATTAATGCCAAATGACCACAATCTCGGAATACTTCCATCAACCAAATAATTATCTTGAGATAAATTTAAAATCTTCCAAGTGACCCCCTTCAAAGGGTTTCCCAATTAAAATTATAAAATAATTTATTTCTTTTCATCTTTCGGGCCCATAAATTCATCCTTGATTTAACTGCAAAAAAAAAAAAAAAGCAGCGAAACAAGATATTGTAACAGGTAAGAACGTGACACAAATGTTTGGATTCGCTACTACACAATCTTTTAAGTCTCTTTCTCTCTCTATCTCTCTCTCTACTCCAATTACCCCTCCCCCCACTTTTCTGTCTAATTTATTTGTTTTCAAAACGGTAAATGTCAATAGCATTAACAGATCTCTGATAATAAAATGTGATACTCGTTTGTTTTTAAAACCGTCCCCAACTCCAAAGCTTAAATCCTATACACGCTGCTATTCAGGAGTGCATGAAGATGTAACAAAGAACGGTCTTCCTCGAGAGACCCAGGTGTGTATTCGGCTTTAGTGTAACCTCCTTCCATCCTGAGACCACACAAAATTTCTAACTTAACATGCAACTGTTACTTCAGTTTTGGAAACCCGTCGTTGAAATGCTACCACTGGGTAAATTTACAAACAGAGGGCCAATTACTCATGGCTATTTTGTTCGTTATGTCATTCTGTGGCGATTCAAGTGGTTAGGACCCCTACTTCGTAATCGGGGAATCCTGGGTTCAAACGTCGGCCCAGAGACCGACTATCCGAACCGCACAGTCAGTAGTTTAGTCTAGAACTAGTGAAGAGGTACCCGGTTTGAGTCTCAATCTGTACACCGATTATCCTAGCTTTCTTGTTTTCCTCAGTTTCTCCAGGTAAATGCCAAGATAAATAACTGAACATGAGAATTTTTTCTCCAAGTATTTTCCGTTCCACCGTCTCTAACTCTGACACTACATAAACTGTGCAGTTGATATAGAAAACTGTATAACTCACAAGCAAAACCTTATGACGAAAAGGTTGCAACACTTCAATAAAAAAAACAGTTTTAAAGGTAATAAAATGAAAACATAAAATCTGAAATTAAACGCGGATGTTTGGCAGTAGGAGGTTAAAGGCCAAAACAGCAAGATCACAAACGTAAATTTAGTTTCTAGGTTGAATCTTCGGGAAGGGAATTATAGACTCAGACGTCCTTTAAAATATGAGTGACGAAATTAAAAATATATTTCAACAAAATATAATTAAAAATTAAACATTCGAAATAAATCTATCGCTATTTATTGTAATAATACAGTTTACTTGTGAACGAATGTAACAAAAATAACTTTAAAATATATTTTTAACAACAAATATTTACGAAAGAAGATTTAGAGATAAATCTATCAATATTTATTTTAATAGGACAATTCACTTGTGAATAAATATAACAAAAAAAAATTGTGTTAATTTGTGTTTTAGTCTTCTGAAGCATACAATTCATATGCTTTAATACGTAAAATTCAGTCTGTACCGCAAAATAAAAAAAAAGGAAACTCACTATTAAAATCATAAACTGGTTAACGTCGTTTAAATAAATATGAATAATCACTGTTTATTCTAAGACTCATAGGAAACCCATACATACAATCTGTGGGCAAAATACAGAGTTAATGATTGTTAAAGTAGATGGTACATATAGTTACCAGTAGACTTGTAAGTGTTAAAACATCCACCAATATTATACGTTAAGCACGCTGCAGTTTATGTACTTTAAAATTCAATTCAATGAGATTTAATCGAATCAGAAGAGCCTTGCTGCTCTATCTATGACGTCTTTCTTTCATTCTTGCTGTTTTAATTAACGTGAGTGTACAGTAGTGAACGTTCCCTCCGTAGGTCTATTCACCGCGACACTGTTCTTGGGTCTTAGTTGGAGTGAATACTCACAGGGTTAGCATTCAAAGGGGATCTCTGGTCCAACACATTCAACAGTAACAATTCGCCTTCAACGCCCAGGTGGAACTCGAGCCTGGATTAAATTTCCTTCATCACTTCCATACACGAGTACACACACATTCACATTTTGTGGACCAAATTTTGCTATAAAATTAATACAATCGGTTGTCAGAGAAAAAAAAAGATTAGATGAAACTGTAATCGACAATTAATAAAAGTTTGTGATGTCTTAGTATCTAAGGGAACGACTTAAATTTATGACAAGTTGCCTGAGACAAATTAATGTCTAATTATTTAATTTAGAAACTTATAATCTTCCATTAAACTGTTTATTGTTATTGTTTGTTTGTAATGTTATAGTATCTCTATGTAACTAGACCTCTAACGTGCCCATTGACCAGAACCCAAATGACACATGAGTGGATAGGAAGCATCGGTGAAATGATACTGAAAAACACTCTCTTTTCCCATACATATCACTCATGGATTTCCCCGGGCACAAAACCAGTCCCTCCGTGAAAGACTAACAACCTAATCTCATAAATTATCGCTAATTTCGTGTTCTGATAAATTATCTTTCGACTCAACGTGTTACAAAAACCGGAATAAAAGATCTGGGTTCGATTCTAGACAGGGACAGAACCATTTCTCTCTGCCTTAACGTTCAGTCTACCCTAACCTTTTATCCAAATACGTACCACGAGATAAATTCCCAACGGACACATTACAAAGCCGACTACTGTCCTTAATTAATTTCGATGCCTAAAATTCACATAGATTTACCTCCACGACCTTGTATCCTTCTATGATGTGGTACTTGGACACTAGAGCTATTGTAACCATACCTTTGTATGTTATGCCGATGTCAAGTTATATGCCTAGTGCTTAGTACTGTCACGATATCAAATATGGGTCTTCACTTATTATTTTGTTGCTTTGGTATACGTAGTAATATTACAGAGGACTAACGAACTGAAATAATAAATTTATTGGTATGAATTTCACGTATGTATGTATTTTCCTTCGAGATTAACATTAAAAATTATAGATATGTAATTGTTGATATTTATAGCCGATGTATTAAAATATAAAACAACAGAGAAATGCTAAAAAGTGTGTTGAAGGAAAAGGATGATTTT